CTTCCTTGGTGGCTGTGACTTTGTGTAGCACTGGCTCAGTGACCTTAAGACTCAGGATCTGAGACTCTGCCTGTCTCTGTCTGTTTTGTCTCTGGGCCGTGAGGGGGTTGGGGAGTAGGGCGGGGCAGTGGCCGAGTGGCCAGCAGTCTCTGGGCAGTGATTCTTAGCTTGTCATTGTTTTACTCAAGTGGATCCATTTATCCAAACTGAACAAGATTTGTGCACTTCAATGTATATAATTTTTCCCTAAAAATATATAAACCTAGAAAAACTAACAGCAACTTTGAGTGGGGAGGAGCAGGTGGAAGTAAATGAGCAGAAATGGCAGAAACTATAAGTATAGAAGCTAGATGATGGGTTACATGGGGGTAATCATATTCTGTCTTTTTAAAATATACATTTGAATTTTATTGTAATAAGAAGTGAAAAAATTAAAAAAGACTTAGAAATCTCCCTCCCTGGTCAAGAACCTCAAAGAAACTCATACTCTTTACCCTAATAATTCCACTTCTGGGAATCTCTCCAAAGGAAATAATCAAAGATACACATAAAGCTTCATTGTAGTACTATCTAAAATAAGGAAAAATTAGACAAAACTCAACGACCCACAACAGGAGAATGGTTAGAACAACTGTGGTGCAACCTTAAAGACACAGGAGCATGCTCGTGACCTAAGATGTAAAAAAAGAAAAAAGTCAGAAGAAGAAACTACATATCATGGGATCTTCATTTTGTTTTAAAAATGCATGTGTGTGGACTTCCCTGGTGGCTCAGTGGATACGAACCTGCCTGTCAGTGCAGGGCATACAAGTTCGATCCTTATTCCAGGAAGATTCCATTTGCCGCAGAGCAACTAACCTGTGTGCGGCAACTACTGAAGCCCACAGGTCTTCAAGCCCGTGTGCCACAGCAAGAGAAGTCCTCCTGATGCAATGAAGAGCAGTCCCTGCTCGCCACAACTGGAGAAAGCCTGTGCAAAGCAATGGAGACCCAGCGCAGTCAAAAGCAGACAAATCAATAAATGCATATATTGTATGATTTCAGCTATGGTGGTTTAGTTGCTAAGTCATGCCCAACTCTTGGGACCCACGGACGGACTGTAGCCTACCAGGCTGTCAGTCCATGGGACTCTCCAGGCAAGAATACTGGAGTGGGTTGCCATTTCCTTCTCCAGGGGATCTTCCTGACCCAGGCATCGAACCCGTGTCTGTTACATCTACCCACACTGGCAGGCGGGTTCTTTACCACTAGCACCACCCGCTGCTGCTGCTGCTATGTCGCTTCAGTTGTATCCGACTCTGTGCAACCCCGTAGACGGCAGCCTGCCAGGCTCCCCCGTCCCTGGGATTCTCCAGGTGAGAAAACACTGGAGCGCCACCTGCGAAGCCCCAATAAATGCATATGCACATATAAAAAAAAAATCTGTAAAGAAATGTCATAAAATGTTAAAACTATTGATCTCTGCTTGGTAGGCTTATGGAAGATTTTAATTTTCTTTTTAATTCTAGCCTGTATTTTCATTATTTCTACAATTAACATTTCTTTCTTTGGTAATTACTTTAAAAACTGAGATGTGCCATTTTGAAGGAAGAGGGGGAAAGATGGAAAGAAAAACAGATTTTCATGCACATAGCAACTGTGAAATAATAAGGTATTGGAACTGGAAGGAATCTTAGAAGCTTGAAATCACCTAAGTCCAACTTCCTCATTTTACAAATGAGAAGACTGAGGCTCAGAGCGTCGAATGTCCAGCTAAGCCATTCACTCTTCGTCTCTCTGACTGCGGCTCAGTGAGCTCTCATGGCCCCAGGACCTTAACAGCCTGGGCTGTACCCCAGTGTTAACCCCTGGAGGCCTGTTTGGGGAGCAGTCCTTGGATTCTCCAGTCAGTCTGGGCCACCTGTTGCCAGTGTCCTCAGCTAGTCTGGATGGAGAAATTCGCTGTCAGAAAGAAGGCCTGTGAAACACTAGACCTCACTACCCCCTAGTCACCTAGAGCTTGTCCCTCAGACAGTTGTAGCTGGCCACCTCTGTCTTTTCAGCTCCGCTTTGGCAAAGGTTCCTTCTAGGCAGCTAGGTCACATGTCCCTCCTGTGCCCCATTTAAAATTGTGACTTGGGGACATGTCATGTCATTGTACCTGGGGGGAGCAAAGAATTATATGCTGGATATACGAATGAGATCTATTTGAGCGTCTCCTGGGAACTCCCTGGTGGTCCAGTGGTTAAGACTCAGTGCTTCCCCCGCAGGGAGCATGGATTTGCTCCCTGGTCGAGGAACGAAGATCCCTCATGCTCTGCAGTGCTGCCAAATATAAAATAAATTTTAAAATTTTAAATGACTTTTTTCTAAAAAGCCAAATTAAAAAAAGAAAGATTAAAATCTATGTTTTAAAAAACGTATTCATGTGTCTCCTTTGTGAATCTGCATATCATGCCGACTGTATGTTCTCCAAGTCAGGTCACTAGGTAAACTGAGGTTATGTCGGGGAATTGATTTGTTCAAAAAACTCTGAATGTAATTGAGGAGCCCTGACAATTATATCTCTGATTTAACTCTCTAAGCCGACGTCTTGGATGGTGAGATCAACTGTAGCTCAGATCTGAAACAGCTGCTGCAGAGCCACCTGCATTGGATGGTGTGAATATCCCCAAGGGATGTGAAGTAAATTAGTTCATATTGAAGGGAAATTTTCTAAGGCCCAGAACCACCATCTTCCCAGCAAACCTCCCACCCAAGTGGGACACAAGGGACACCAAATGAAAGACGATGCAAAGAGGCAGACGTGGCTTTCGAGTCTCCAACAGGCCAAATGCAGTCAGAGTGACTGAAATGATCTGCTCGAACAGATTTGATGTTTTAACACTAATTATCAGGCCTCAGAAGAGAGCCTGGCTGCTGGCAGACAACCAACACTGTCTTATTTAATTTTTAGATTTGGCTGTTAAATTTGGCCCAGCGCAAGATTGTGTTTGATGGGACTTCAGAGAGTGAAGGATTCCTGGTAGGAAGGCCTGGGTTCCAGCTCTGTGTGACCTTAGACAAGCCATTTCACCCCATTGGGAGTGTTTTGTCATCTGTGCGATGGAGGAAACACCCCCTGCACAGCATGCCTTCTGGGGAGTTTGAAGATCAAATGAAATGGTGTAAAAGCACTATGCAAATGACAGGCATAATTACGTTCACAGGCAGGACATCGAATCTTTTCTGCCTGGTTCACTGAATTCTATGTAATTTACATACTGTGGATTTTACCCCTCTTTTCTTGCAGCAAAATCCTTTGGAGAATATCGTTTTTAGACCCGAAATTGAAACTGTGTAGTTTCCTTATTCATCCTCAGAGTCCTCTGGGATAAAGAAAAGAGTGGAATTAAATGAAAAAAGAGATCCAGAGTGACGGTAGCCCAAGGGCACAAAGAATTCCCACCCAGGTGTTCTTTCTTTCCTAGATGACACTGACATCTAATCTAAAGTCAAAGTTTCTCATCCTAAATTAGACTCACAACTCCCCCAGCTCCTCCGTCTCCTTTGCATCTTCTCCCTCCGGATATAAATGCCCAGTTTACACTTTGCTGTCCTGAGCCATGCTGGGCACCACCGCTAGTACCTCTAAGTGCTGGGCACACAATAGATATTTGGTAAATACATATAATAGAAGACAATAGAAATGGAGCTCTAAAATTTTTCTCTCATTACTCTAAGTTTCTTAAAATACAGATCAAAAACAATGTTTACCACATTTCCACAAGTCTGAAATAACATAGCTTCTAAGGCACACCAGTTTTTATGTACCAAAAAGAAAGGAAAACCCCATCAATTAAAACATGACACAGTGCTTCCTTATTGTGTCTGGTATAATCCACAACTTGATTTCACAGGTGTTAAAATGTGAAAGAAATATGCATCTTAGATGAAATGCAGTCTATTTACCCCTTCCAAAAAGTACAGATTTCTCCTTTTGATTCTGATGAATTCTTAGGTTAGCCCACTTCAAACTGTCTCAGTTTTAGCCCCAGCTCCACTCCTTACATTGCATTTATGTGCAATCACCCTTCCATATGGGTAGAACGGGGACATTAATTCTATTTTTCTTATGGATACAGTAATACAAAGTAGGTCTTGAATATAGTTTTTGGTTAAGTGAGGATTGTGAAGTGCTTATCAAAGCCAAAATCACATGAATTCTGTGGCCTATTGTTTGTGACAAGATTTAAAAGAATAAGAAATGTTTGAGTATTTGCCACATCTATTGTGCTTTCTTTTTCCCAAGTAGTGCTTTCTGTGATTTTTGTTGTGGTGCTTCTTGTTTTATTTAATATGCTTGATTTGGCTGTTTTGTTGTTGTTATTCAGTTTATTCTTAGATCAGGTGAACTATGCGTTTTCATTGCACAGAGAAATTAGGCGTGAATAGGCTGATGTGATGAGAACCCATCACCTGCCTGGGCTAAATATGATGTTTTCATAAAATTCGAGGCAGGAATTCATAGTTTTTTCAGGGCAGAAGAGAGCCTGAAGAATGCAGAGAAATCAGGGGAAATAGAAATACAGCTTTTGTGACAATCCTTTGTAATTTTTCATGCACCCAGTCCCTGTTTGTAAATTCTGCAGTTTGGGACGAGAAAAAAATCCACCTGTTTCCAGCCTGTTCTTTAGTCACCTTCTCACATTGCTCTGGCCTAATAGGACATTATTTATATAGAACAGCAGACAGACATGAAAAAAGGCGGTGGGTAGGGGTGGGGAGCGGTTCTAGGGACTAGACCATGGCTAGTGGAGAGGAGTGATCCAAATGGCCATATAAGTCCTGTCTGTATGTTCTTGATGAGGATCATTTCAGCTCCAGATGCCTTGCTCCTCCCTGTTGCAACCCCCTCCCCTGGGGCCCAGGGCGCATTACTGTGATGGTGTCAGTAACCCTCTTGCTGGGCAGGAAGTAGGTGGGAGATGTTAATGTCTGACAGATGCTAATGCATATTTTGCCCCTTCTCTCCCCTGCAGTCTGAGTACCACTATGAGTACACCGCGTGTGACAGCACTGGTTCCAGGTGGAGGGTCGCCGTGCCACACACCCCAGGCCTGTGTACCAGCCTCCCCGACCCCGTCAAGGGCACCGAGTGCTGTAAGCAGTCCTGCCTCTCAGCTTTGGCCTGTGATCCAAGCCTCCTACCTTCTGAGTTAGGCCCTTCCTGACAGTGTGGCTGCCTCAAGGAATCAGATCTCCCCACCCCTGCCTCCCCATCCACCAAATCTCGAGATTTGGTGCAGGAGTGTTATTTCATGGGTGCAAACTGGGAATCTCAATTTATTTTTCTTTTCAAATTTAAATCCCATCACAGTATAATGTAAAAATCATTCCGGCTGTGTGTCACTTAGATATTTTTCTCTGTTTGCATACATTTTCTTTTCTGGTCTGTGCATTTCTCTCCAGTCTACACTGTCCAGCCACAGTCACTCATTAGGAAAGATTGTGATTTGCAGTCATTCTTGGAAAGGAAGCCAGAGAAGATAAATTTCTGCATAGACAGATCTTTAAAATGCACTGGGCATCACTTCAGGGAACAAGAATGTTCCCTGATTGGGGAGCTGACCATGCAACCGGAAAGGCAGTGACTTGCCTGCAGCTCCCATTCCCTCCTCTAGGACTCTGTAGCTACAACTTTCCTGTCACTAGCAGCTCTTTCCCCTGTGCTGTCCCTTTTAGAAAATTCAAAGACAAAATATTTTTTTTTTTTAACAATAAAGATCAGGGACTAGAATCAAGGAATCTTGGAAGATTTGGAAAGGAGATTGAGGGCATTTAAAATAAAAAATATGCTTAGCCTAGTACCTGGTTCAGTAGGTGAGCAAATAAATACTTGTTAAATCAATGAATGGATATTGCTAAGATCTGAGTATTAACAGAAACAAATGAGCCATCTTCAGTAAACTTGGCCAGTGTTCTTAATATGTGCACCGCGATGTGAACCACAAGGAAAAATAAGGCACAGCCTCTGCCTTCAGAAGCGTACAGTCTGGTGGGAGGAGCAGACATCTGTTTATCCATATATTTTTTCAGCAAACCTCAGTGGAGGGCCTGCTGTGGCTGTGCCAGTTGCTGAGCCACCGTGCCTGGAGGAGCTCAGAGCCTGGTAGGAGGCACACATCAATACGATGTGTCATATGAGGTGAAAAGAATGGGCCTTGTGGATGCTTAGGGATCAGGAACAGCTGGGAGTACCACTCAAGCAGAAGCTTGGAGGTGGGAGAACATCAGACACATTCAGAGAAGAGCATGTGGCCTGAGGTGGAGACAACACAGGGAGGGGGTGGATGGGAGTGGGGTGGAGAAGGGTCTGGTGTGTGAGATTAAGCCGGTTGGGGTTAGGTTGGGGGAAAATTGTAATAGACTTTGAATGCCAGGTTGAGAGTTTCAGTCTATAACCAAAAGTTGGTGGGTGGTGCCTGATTATTTTTTAAATAACAGAAATAATAGTATGGGCTTCTCTGGTGGTTCAGTGGTTAGGAATCCACCTGCCAATGCAGGGGTCATGGGCTCAATCCCTGGACTGAGAAAATCCCACATGCTGCAAGGCAGCTAAGCCTGTGCATCACAACTACTGAGCCCTTTCTCTTCAACTACTGAAGTCTGCTTGCCTGGACCCCATGCTCTGCAACAAGAGAAGCCACTGTGATGAGAATCCATGCACCACAACTAGAAGAGCTGCCCCGGCTGGTGGCCACGAGAGAGATAAAGACCCAGTGCAGCCAAAAATAAATAAATTTTAAAAAGAAATAAGTATCAGTATTTTATTTTATTTTTTTAAGTATCAGTATTTTAGAAAGATACCTCTGACCACAGAATGAGCAAAAACAAGAAATAGGCAACTAGTTAGGAGGACATTGCAATTGTTGAGCTAACCTAACAGATCACAATATTCCCAACTAGCATGGTGGCAGTGGGACCAGAAAAGAGAAGACAGAGGCCAGAGACAGCAGGAAATCCAAGGCCGAAAGGCCAGGTGCCCTTCAGAGGCAGCCCCTCTGAGGGGCCCCTTCAGAGGGATCAGAACGAGAGACTCTGGTACCCTCTTTTACTGGAGAGCTCTCAGAATGGCCAAGGAAATGAGAATAATGGCCCAAAATGCTGCAACAAGGTCCTATGTCTTTTTTTTTTTAATAACAGTTTTGGGAATTCCTTGGCAGTCCAGTGGTTAGGACTCCATGCTTTCATGGTTCAATCCCTGGTGGAGAAACTAAGATCCCACAAGCCATATGGCACAGTCAATAGATAAATCAATGCTGATTCACCCCTGTAAGTTCTAGAATTCAGTGGTTTTTAGAATAGTCACAGAATTATGTAATTATCACCACTATCTAATCTCAGAATATTTTTATCACCCCAGAAAGAAACTTCATATCCATTAGCCATCTCGCCCCATGGCCCCTCCCCCAAGTCCCTGGTGCCACAGATCTACTTTCTGTCTCTATGGCTTTGCCTATTCTGGACCGTCCATACAAGCAGGCTCATAGAAGATGCACCATGACTCCAAGTCTTGGTGCGTGAAACCCTTAGGTCTCCATCCTCTGCTCCTCCCTCTAGGATGCCCACACCCGCCCACTTCTCCCAGGTGGCAACAGCCTCACCACCTGCCCTTGTGCCCGCTCTTGTGTTCCAGCCTTTTCTTGCAAAGCCGGGGAGTTTCTGGACATGAAGGACCAGTCGTGTAAGCCGTGTGCTGAGGGCCGCTACTCCCTTGGCACAGGCATCCGGTTCGATGAGTGGGATGAACTGCCCCATGGCTTTGCCAGCCTCTCAACCAACATGGAGATTGAGGACAGCACGTTGGAGTCCACCGAAAACTGTACTTCGTGAGTCGCCCCTCTCCCCCTGCCCCACGCCCTCCCCCTTAGCCCCTCACCTCCCTTACCTCCCTGCTCCCCATGCTGGGGAAGGGGCTGCAGAGAGCTCTCCACAGTCTCCTCTCCTCCTTGGGGTGAGGGCTGGAGCAGGGCCCCCCTGGACTGCTGGATGTGATGCCCACCTCAGCCCAGTCTTACTGACCTAAGCTTACCAGCGACTGATAAGCACTTGTGACAGGTGAAAACCACCAGGAAATAGACATTGATAAGATGGACAAGGGTCATATGGCCCAGTCTGTTTAGGACAAAATCCAATTGAATTCTACCATGGAATTTTGGATCAGCCAAAATACTTCCTTAATTTGATAGCAACACTATGTGCAATGCCTTGAGTATCTTCCTGGCTTTGGTGTCAACATCTAAATCTTGTCTCCTAGTCCTGAGTTTATGGGGTTGGGGGGATAAAGTAGAACCAGAGCTTTGGTTAGTCATGGCTGAGATGTTCCAAACCCTTTGAGACCCTGGTGACCAGAGAATTCTCCAGCTCAGAAGAGGATATTTTCAGTAATTAAAAAACTCAGCCCAAGGTGCTTACAGAATGGGTGAGCTGTCCTTATCCAATCTTTACATATTTAATTCTAGGATAAGAATTAAATGATGTACCTTGGTTCAGGCACTATTCTAGATGCTTTGCATACCTTATTTTTTCTAATCCTCATGAGAACCCTTGTGAGGGTGAAACAGGTATTATTGTTCCCATTATACAGATTTGGAACTGGAGGCTCAGAGAGGTTAAATGACTTGTCCTTTGTTATCCAGCTTACAACTGGGAAGACTAGAATTCATCCTCAGTCCCAGCTTTCCACTGCCCCATGCTGCTGCTTTCAAATAACATTTAGTGTGTTCAAGATAATACTTGGGTCTTAGAGAGGAAAAGTTGGGGGTGGGGATTGCATGGATGTAAAAGACAATTGTCTGCTACTCTTTGTTAAATATTGACAAAGAATATAGGAGAAAAGTACATGAAAGTTTCTCTTATATCCAAACAATCAAAAGGATAAAAAAGAATTAATTGTATTACACCTGAATTTTTAAAGGTTAGAGCAATGTCTCCCATTCCTATACTTAAATATCCTAAAACACCATTGTCTGAGCCAGGCAGCAGGTCTTTTAACGGTCCAATGTTTATGTTACTTTAGAGTTCGGTATTATGAGTCAAAGGGCTTCCCCAGTGGCTCAATGATAAAGAATAAGTCTACAGTGCAGGAGACACAAGAAGACACGTTATTCAATCTCTTGGTCAGGAAAATCCCCTGGAGGAGGAAATGGTAACCTACTCCAGTGTTCTTGCCTGGAAAGTCCCATGGACAGAGGAGCCTGGTGGACTATAGTCCATAGCATCACAGAGTCAGACATGACTGAAGCGACTTAGCACGTATACATGCAAAGTGGAAATGAGATGATACTTGGAAAGATTTGCAATCTTGGAGAGATTTGGAGCGATTCCTGGCATTAGAAATCAATCAGGACAAATTGTTATTATTAAACATGAAATGATCTTCACTAGGAATAACTCTGACAAATGTCAGAATTGTAATGCATTTTGCAAACGTAACCCACTTATGGCATTCTTTTAATTATTCATCCACCTTCAGGAGTTATTTATAGCTGATGCCTTGGAGCACATCAGCTTTAAGTGCTGTCTCTTTTAACAAGGAGAAATCAATACCATTAGGTTAGCTGGGTATCTTCAATGAGCTCAGCTGAGGCATTTTGGATATGTTTTCACTTGAGAATAACACTAACTGTGGAAGAGCTGGAAGTACCATATTATTCTGACAAACACAGGGGGAAACTGAACTAATCTGAGGTTCCCTTGTCATTGCTCACTCAATCTTGTCCAACCCTTTGCAACCCCATGGACTGTAGCCTGCCAGGCTTCCCTGTCCTTCACCATCTCCTGGAGCTTGCTCAGACTCATGCCCATTGAATCGGTGATGAGGATTGGGAACCTTAACTGGTCATTATTAGTCATTGGCGACCAGGGCTGGTCTCAGGCAGAGCAGTGAAATAGCACAGTTGTCTTTGATCACCACCTCTTACATTCATCTGTTTAATGCCCCGAGTCCCTCTCTCATGCCAGATCCATGGCTTGGTGCTGATGACACAGAAGGGAGCAAATTAAGTTTGGTCTCTGCCCTCACAGCATCGACAAACCAGGCCGGAAGATAAGCAATTCAAGAAGAATTAAACTGTGATCAGAAGAGATGAGATAAGATGTTCAACCTCATTAATAATCAAGGAAATAAGGTTTAAAGCCCAGGGAGACACTGTGTTCTATCATATCATACTAGCAACAATGTAAAGTCTGACCATTCTAAATGTGGGGAGGATGCAGGAGTTTTCTGCTGGTTCAGTTCAGTTCAGCTCAGTTCAGTCGCTCAGTCCTGTCCGACTCTGCGACCCCATGAATTGCAGCATGCCAGGGCTCCCTGTCCATCACCAACTCCTGGAGTTTACTCAAACTCATGTCCATCGAGTCAGTGATGCCATCCAGCCATCTCATCCTCTGTTGTCCCCTTCTTCTCCTGCCCCCAATCCCTCNCCTCTTTCACTTTCATCAAGAGGCTTTTTAGTTCCTCTTCACTTTCTGCCATAAGGGTGGTGTCATCTGTCTATCTGAGGTTATTGATATTTCTCCCGGCAATCTTGATTCTAGCTTGTGCTTCCTCCAGCCCAGCGTTTCTCATAATGTACTCTGCATAGGAGTTAAATAAGCAGGGTGACAATATACAGCCTCGATATACTCATTTTCCTATTTGGGAACAGTCTGTTGTTCCATGTCCAGTTCTAACTGATGCTTCCTGACCTGCATACAGGTTTCTCAAGAGGTAGGTCAGGTGGTCTGGTATTCCCATCTCTTTCAGAATTTTCCACAGTTTATTGTGTGGGTGTAGTTGATAACAGCTACTCTGGGGCATAACATCGCTGTAGCTGGTAAAGTTGGAGGTTCACAAACCCTGTGACCCAGTGGTTCTACCCCACCCCCTGGCCAGGCTTTCTACTCAGACACGTGTAGGAGACCAGTGCCAGAGTGTTCCTAAAAGAGTGTGCACAAAGCAAAAAATTGGAAACAACCTAAATGCCTTTCAACAAGTAGTGCATAATAAATGTGGGTGAACCATGGAAAGCAATCTTATATACTAATGAAAATGAAAGAAGAGCTTTTATTCATGCGTGGATATCGATAAATCCCATGATTATTATACATGTTGAAGAAAAGCAAGTTTCAGAATCCATGAGTATGATACCATTTACACAGGTTTAAAAATATACAAAGCAATACCATACCATATATTGTCAAGAGATACATACACTATTAGTAAAGAGCAGAGAACCACATGGGGCTATTAAGCACCAAATTCCAGAAAAGTGGTTACTTGGCAGTGGGGAAAGGCTTGTGTGATGTAGATGGGGTTGAGACTATCTAGGGGAACACGGAGGCTTCTGCTGTGTTGCATTTATTTCTTTTTTTAAATACTCGTTTATTTATTTGGCTGCATTGGGTCTTAGATGCGGCACACAGAATCTTCATTGGGTCATGTGGGATCTTTCACTGTGGCCCACCGACTCTCTAGTTGACTAATTCATTTCAATGTATGACAAAAACCACTGCAATGTTGTAAAGTAATTAGCCTCCAACTAATAAAAATAAATGGAAAACAACAACAACAACAAAAATAAATAAATAAAATACAATAGGAATGTGATCATGAGAGGGAAACGGTAAGAGCTGAGTGCACACACAGCACAGGCAGGTCAAGGAGGACTTCTCAGATTAGGTGACATTTATTTTGAGACATAAGCAGGAATTCAATAGGTGGAGGGAGGAGGAAGTTTGTTGAAGAAGAGAACAGTGCATGGGAAGACCCAGAGGTAAGAGAAAGTTTTGCAGAAGAATTGAAAGAAATTCTGTAGGGCTGAGTATAGAGAGTGGGCGAGGGGTTTGTAAACTATCCTGAGGGCAACAGGGAGCCACAGACTGAGTGCAACTGGGGGCAACACAGCCACACTGTCAGGCAGGGAAGTGATACGGGCTGATTTTTGTTCTGGAGGCTCCCTCCAGCCACACTGTGGAGAAGGGATTGGAGGAGGCAGGATAATGCTGGGAGGTGGGCTGGGATTGGTCCAGAGCTAAGGGTATATGGGGAGGAAAAGAAAGAGCCTTGAGTAGGGTAGACAGAATAGAGATACTTAGAAAATAAAATCAACATGCCTTCTCCCTTCCCCCTTCCCATAAAAGCAGTTCCTAGTAGCATCTAAAAGTGGACATTAGCAACCCAAACAAACAAAAAAACAGATGGATTAGACTGGATAGATTTGAGTTCTACAAAATAACTTTATCTACTTTCTTTGACAACTTTGAATTAGGCAAATCTGGGTTTGAAGCTCAGCCCTGTCACTTGCTGGTTGTGTTATATTGGGCAAGACACTCAACAAGCCTCAGTTTTATATCCATTAAATGGGGACAAAATTGCACTTCCTCTTACTGATAAAAAGAAATCATGAACACAAAATATGTAGCTCATTATTTGGGAGATAATAAGCAACTAATAAATGTTATCTACCCCCCCAACCCCTGCCCCGACTCCTCACCTGCACCATCTTGCCTGCTATCTATCTTCTGGGTAGTTCTGTATAATGCAGGGGTGCACCTACCTGACTTCCTCTTGGCTACACCTTCAGGCTCCTTGACCTAGAGGTCATTCTTCACTGAGCATTTTCAGGTGTAAGCTTCCGCTTATGAATCACAAGTCTGAAATTCTGCAGGGACCTAGCAGAACATGAGACCTGAGATCGCGCAAGCCCTGGTGGGCTGGTCTCCTGACGGTGAACTTGGCTCCCATTTCCTCACAGGTCCAAGTGGGTTCCTCTGGGAGACCATATCGCCTCCAACACAGACGAGTGCACGGCCACGCTGATGTATGCTGTCAACCTGAAGCAGTCTGGCACTGTTAACTTTGAATACTACTACCCAGACTCCAGCATCATCTTTGAGTTTTTTGTAAGCCCCTGGCTGGGGGCAGGGGGGCAGGGGGAGGTGGGAAGGTGGGAGGTAAGACCCTATAAGGCTCAGATGCATTTACAGAAATCACACACAGTCCCGCTTAGGAAATTTTCACAGTCATTTTTCCCTCTGGAGAGAACTGTGGTCAAAATGAGCTGGAGCTTCAAGAGTTAAAGAAAAGATGGAAGTCAAAGGACCCTGGTGGGGAACAGTACAGCCTGGGAGAGTCCTAGGTGCTTTCCCATGTTCCAACATGAAAATAGCTCTGAGTTCTGCAAAATGTCTTTACTGTCAATGTACTGACATCCTGTGTGTATAACTAGCTCCTGCCCAACTTCAAGGCTCATGAGTTCTGACCTGTCTTTCTCCCATAAGAGGGGCTGTGTGGACGGCTGGTGCTTTGTGGTGTAAGATACTTGTTTCCTTAGAAAACTGAGACTGATCTTAAATTCTTGCTGCGTCAGGTTCAGAACGACCAGTGCCAGCCCAATGCAGATGACTCGAGGTGGATGAAAACCACAGAGAAAGGATGGGAATTTCACAGTGTGAGTATCAGAGCAGCCTTCTCCCTAGAGACCCCAGAAAAGGGGCCAAGGACAAAGGCATCTTCCTCCCAGTCTGGGCCTCCACCCTTCTCTCCTTGGAGGGCAGGATCCTGACAACATGAGGATGCTGTAGTTTCTCTCCTTGTGAGCTGACATAATACAGATGTGAACTGACTGGTTCCCCTGGCTTGACCCCAAGGACCAGAGCTCTGCAGGTTTAAAGGGCCCAGTTTCCTGGGGTTGGGCATGGATAAACAGAACCAGAGAAGAAAAAGGAGGGAGATTTTGCCTTGCTGTTGTCAGTATCTTCAGGTCCCTTCATTGGTCTCATGGTAGAAATGCTCATGATATATGTGATTGAGGGAGACAAGGCAGAGGACACTGAGAGAGCTGGAGGGGGAGGCTTAGAAGGAGGGAGGAACTGCGCCAAGGGGGCAGAAGGGCAATGCTGAGGAGGCGGAGGGAGAGCAGCATAACAGGAGCTGCCTTGCAGGCTGCCACAGGACGGGTCCCCCCAGGAGGCTGATGCAATGGACCAGCAGCATCTGTCTCTGTGAGTGAACTCTTTCCTGTTGGTGGTTTTTAGGTCGAGCTAAATCGAGGCAATAACGTCCTCTACTGGAGAACCACAGCCTTCTCAGTCTGGTCCAAAGTCTCCAAGCCCGTGCTGGTGAGAAACATTGCCATAACAGGTACGGATTGTAGACAGTGGGGTTGGGTCTGGGGTCTGACGCTGACTTCTGCAGGGAGGGTGGGGTTAGTCCCCAGGGCCCTCAGTCTCCAGACTTAATCCTTGCCTTTCTGTGTTGTTCTTCCTCCCCAGGGGTGGCCTACACTTCAGAATGCTTCCCCTGCAAACCTGGCACGTACGCAGACCAGCAGGGCTCCTCTTCCTGCAAACTATGCCCAGCCAACTTTTATTCCAATAAGGGAGAAACTTCCTGCCACCAGTGTGACCCTGACAAATATTCAGGTGAGGGCAGGAAGAGTTTGGTGTTTCAGGAGCAGCGGGTGTGGGGGGGGGGAGGGGGTAGGTACCAACATATATATATATAGGGATGAACAGGAAGTGGTGCCATCCTTTCGGCCAAGCTGAAGATGATTCTTCTAGAGCCCTTGCTTTCTGAGCCCTGGAAGAGCCTGGCTAATCCACCAATCACTCTTGAAATGAAATCATTCAATAAGTATTTATCAAGCCACTACTATCTGCCAGGCCTTATTCTAGGTGTTTGGAATACATCAGTGAACAAATTAGACAAGGATCCCTGTCTTCATGCTCTTCCCTGGTAGCTCAGTTAGTAAAGTATCTGCCTGCAATGCAGGAGACTTGGGTTTGATTCCTGGGTCAGGAAGAGCCTCTGGAGAAGGGAATGGCAGCCCACTCCAGTATTCTTGCAGAGAATTACACAAACAAGAAGCCTGGCAGGCTACAGTCCATGGGGTCCCAAAGAGTTGGACACGAATGAGCGACTAATATTTTCACTTTCTGTATTCATAGAATTTACATCCTAGAATGTAAATGGAATAAGTAATAACTACAATAACTAAATAATAAATATGTAATAAAGTGTATTTTATATTAGACAGCAAAAAGTGCAGGGTACCATAGCAAAAAGAAAAAGCAGCTCAGAATTAGAGGAATTAGAAAGGCTAGGGAAAGGCGTTGCAATTGTTTTTTGTTTTTTAATAAAACCTTAAATAAGATTATAAATATTATATACAGTAGATAAAGAGGTATAAATTTATGTTTTTTAATTTATAACAATTATTATCAGTTAATTTAGAAGAGCCATGAGGTTGTATTGATGCATAAAACATTTCTATAGCAAGAAACTATGATCTTTTATCCACTGAACTCAAAGCATCCACTGAATTTAAAGCAGACCTTGTCAAGAAATCTAGGGTTCCTTGGAACACAGTTTAAAACCACTCCTCTAAAGGAAAATAAGAGGACAATGAATAGCAGCCTATTTCTGCAGTTACTGGATAACTTCCTGAAGCAGCCCAACTTGAGAAATGGAACCGGGCTACTTGAGAGGATCTTGGGAGCAGCAGGGCTCTGGTATAAGATGGGCAATGTCAAAAAAAAAAAAAAAGATGGGCAATGTCCCCGGAGGGCCCTGTGCTCAGACAATAGCCCAGGAACCAATCTCCAAGGCAGGTTCTAAAACAAACGGGGATAAAAAGAGTCCTCTCCCTTCCCCTGCAAATGCTCATAACTATTCCAGTTTTCCTTTTTCACACAGAACTATATACAAATCCAGGCTCCCCTGATGGCTCAGTGGTAAAGAATCTGTCTGCCAAGGTGGGAGACACGGGCTTGATCCCTGGCTTGGGAAGATCCCCTGGAGAAGGAAATGGCAACCCACTCTGGTATTCTTGCCTGGGAAATCCCATGGACAGAGGACCCTGGTGGGCTATTGTCCATGGGGTGGCAAAAGAGTCAGACACATCTTAGGAACTAAACAACAGTATACACAAACTGAGCTCAAGGCCCTCTCTTAAGCAGACCTCCCCCTTATCTTTACACAGACACACCCGCCCTTCACACATGCATTACAGTACATGTTTGCTCAGCCAAGACCAGTCACTGACCTTGTGAACTGCTTATTTCTACACCAATCCTAAAACAAAAGTCCTATTTATCTACTCAGATCTTGCCCAATGAGTGTAGTTTTCAGCGACAACAGAGATGTTTAGCTCTTAGGGGAAGTTTTTATCTTTAAGTCTAAACTCCTGTTTTTTCACTTGAATTTCTTGTTTCTCTTCCCTGCTCTGTCAATAGCAGCCTTTGTTAGTCATTTTCTCCAGTTCCCTTTCCAGCCCCACTGGGGTACAGGATTTGAAGGGCAAGGTGGTTCTAGAAAAAATGCCTACGGGTGTTTTGATCAATGCTATGTAAATAGATGTCTATCCATAGAACTGTTATGAAAGTATTACTTTGGGAATTTATATTCTTGCCATCTAGTCTTTTGCCACTGATTTCTCAACCCACCCCTTTGACTGGAAAGTGAGTTTTTACTCTGAAGAATATGTTCAACTCAGGGGTACAAAGAGTGTTGAATTTCTTGGGGACTTGATTCTTCCAGAACACAGAGTCAGTGGGAGATTTCAAAAATGCAGAGTATGATGAGAGCCTATGGTGGAATGTACATGAAGGGAGTGACAGGAGACCCTGTGACCAGCTAGTCTTTCATTTGCAAATATATTCCAAGTGCTCACCAGGCTGAGTGCCAGGGCTTGGGCTGGGCTTAGAGCTGGAACCCGCCCTCCAGCTTATGTCAAAAGTGGAAACATGGTTAAAAAAAACACCAAGTGTAGTAACTCCTCCATACGGGAAGTGCTCAGATAGGAGTGTTGAGTGTAATGTGTGGTGGAAGCAAAAAGGGAGAGTGGTCAGTCCTCTCTGGGAAGGGAGGGAAGGCTGCTAGGTGTGGCCTTGAAAGATAAACTGTTTTGAAAGACGAGTTGGTGATTTGATGGAGGCAGGATGTTCTGGAAGGAGCCCTGGCCAGAAGGCTCAGGGATCCAGGAGTAACTCAGCATCACCAGAGCTTACTTGGAGAGAATTAGCATCAAAGGCTAATAGGTAGGCAGGGAACAGGTTATGGATGAACCCTTCTGTGCCACTGCTACAGAACTGGGATTTGATCCTATCAGCAGTGGAAGACATTAAAGAATTTAAAACTGGAGAATGACATAATGTGGCTTGTACTTTTGAAGTCCACTCTTGTTGCCATTTGGAAAAGGTATGAGGAAAGGAAGAGCTGGAGACAGAGACCACAATCAGATTTCTTTCAGCAGGCGCCACAGTCCATAGCCAGGGCCTAGACTAAGGAGGAGTGGATGGGGGTAGAGATGGAAAGTGTCTTTGTTACTGATAGCTTAAATTTCATTATTAGGGTTAATTCCTTTGTGTTATGTTTATACTAGGGACTCATTTTCTAGTAGAATAGTATAGTGTTTCAGAGCATGGGCTCCAAGAACAAAATCATTACAGGTCAAATCCCTGCTCCACCACCTACTAGCTATGTCACCTTGGGCAAGTCATTTGTCTGTGCCTCAGTTTTCTCACCTCTAGAATGGGAATGATAATAATTGTATCTGCTTCATCGTGTCATTGTGTGGATTGGTGAGAACAAAGAATTTAGAACAGTGTCTGGCATGTAGTAAGAACTAGTTTTATTTATTCATTTGCATTAAGGCCTGTCCCAGCAGTCTTCTTCTAGTGTGACAACACTCTGGGTATAGGTAACAATAATAAGTTACTGGTATAGCACTTTACAGTTTATAAAACTATCTCATTTATTACTCATAGCACAGTGCAGGAATGATTTCCTCATTTCCAAATGAATAAACAGAAGCTCAGAGAGGTTCCCTGGTGGCTCAGTGGTAGAGAACTGCCTGCCAATTCAGGAAACTCAGGTTTGATCCCTGGAGATCAAACTCAGAAGATCCCCTGGAGAAGGAAATGGCAACCTATTCCACTATTCTTGCCTAGAAAATCCCAAGAACAGAGGAGCCTGGCAGGCTACAGTCCATGGGGTCACAAAGAGTCAAACATGACTTAGCGACTAAACAACAATAGAGAGGTTAGGGATTTGCCCAGAGTCTGTGCTGGGGTCAGAGCTGAGTTTTGTGTTCATTAGGTACTTAAATGGTCAGGGGAAATGTTTTCTTTGGATAAAAAGGATCAGAATGAGAAGGTTGTACTTCCGGAGGTGGGAAGAAGATGCAAAAGAGCAGGTGGAGCCCCCCAAATAAACTTTATCTTCATACAGTTTTGCCCAGGGCCAATCCTACAGGAATCACTTTTCATTTTCTCACCAAACATCTAGGCCAATCTTTCAAACTTGACCAGTCCCCAGTTTTCACACCTCGATGAAACCTGAGCTAGGAAAGTGAGGTCTGGCTCAGCATTTGGGTTAATCATTTATTAAAACCAGTCTAGCAGTTGTCAGTGTGTAAACAGCTGGACCATTTTTGCTGAAACCCGGAGCTGGGGTGTCAGTTTGAATAAATATTTGACAAGCAGAGAAAGGTGCTTATGTGGAACACACTTTCTAACATGTAACTTGCAATTTGCTAAATCTAATATGCAAGGTCCTGGGAATTGATTTGTTTTCAGCATCTCCTCCCAAATTTCTCCTGGCCGGGTCTGTCAAAACCAGGAGTCCCTGGATCCCCTTATGTTGAAATAGGCCCTCGCTTATTAACCGAATAAATAAGCTCAGAAGACCCCAGCTGCTTCTCAGCCAGTAGCTTCCTCTCACCCAGGATAACAAGGTGGGGACAGAAGAGGCCCCAGTGCAGACTAACAACATGGTAATAGGAGATTCTCAGATCTAGCAACTCATCTGTTGCCTTGGGAAGAAAGGACCAGTTGAGAAATAAGCCTTAACTGGAAGAGAAGGGAAACTTTAATCCTTATTAAAAGTGTCATGATGGTAACCAAATAAAAAGATTTCTTATAAATCCAGGTGATAATAGTTACCAGCATTTAGCAAGTTTCTACTTACAATGTGTCAGGTATGTGCTGATTCCAGCAAGGCAGATGTTACTCTTCTTGCTGCACAGGTTGACAGCACAAAGGCTCAGAGAGGTTAAGTAACTTGCCAGGAGTGACACAGCTCCTAAGTGATTAAGCATGATCCAAATCCAGATCTGTCTGACTTAGAAATCTCATCCCATTCTACTAAAATGTCCATCAAGCAATATATATATAGAGAAGGTCTCACCATCATCACCTGCTTACCTACAGGCAACACAGCAGTCATACCGGGAACAGTAGCAGTCGCAGCAGTATTGTCCTGGCACTCTATAAAGCAGTGGTTTTCACTCTGGAGAAAGTGAATTCCCTGGAAATTTTTTAAAAATTGTATGAATTAGGTATATTTTTCGGGATACAGGAAACAGGTTTTTTTTTCCAACTCTCAAAAGGATTTGTAATTCAAAAAAGGTAAAATCCATTGATTTAAAGAGGAATTCAGGGACTTCTCTGGTGGTCGAGTGTCTAAGACTCTGTGCTTGAAATGCAGGGGGCCTGGGTTCGATCCCTGGTCAGGGAACTAGATCCCACATGCCGCAACTAAAGATCCTGCATGCCGCAGCTAAGACCTGGCACAACCAAATAAATAATCAATATTTTAAAATAAAATAAAGTTTGCCATCACCATTTAAAAAATACAGAAGGATTCATTGAAACAGTTGTTTCTATCCAGGGGTTCATAGCGTTAAAGCAGAACCAACCTAGATATAAGAACACAAGAAAGGAAAGTAAATAAAATGATAGTTCATAACATTTTTCATTAAGTCCGGTTCAAGGCTTAAAGAGTGCTGTGAATACTGTAGGTGGAGAAAGTGGAAAGAGTGGGATTAAACCATCACTTTATTTGTGTAGGATGGCTGAATGGAGAAGAGGAAATGCAGCAGTGGGAGGCCTTCATTCTAGGCACATATTAAGAGAAAATTCAGAGGCACTGTCCTAAGCTTTCCTATGTTTTGCTTCAACCCTTTAGGAGTAGAAAAACCACCCACACAGTCAGGGTTCTGAGGCACCTGGAAGATGGCAGGTTCCAGGGAATTGGGCTGGTGGTAAGGAATCAATAGATGCTTCTTCTGGCCACCTTCCCCTCAATGGTCCTCTGGCCAGCCCACCTCCTCTGCCCTGCTCCACAGTGCAGCCTCAGGGGTTTCTCATCAGCATCAAGGTGGGAAGCAAAGTGGGTATCTGAACAGGTCTTCAGGGACTGGAAATGAAGCCACTGAGGCAAAGGGAAGGTGTACGTGCAGCACTGTCTACTTTCTGCAAGATCTGTGCTGTGCTTCACCCCAGGGTCTGGGGTGTTATAGCATCGTGTGCAAGTGATCGAGAGCTCTGCTTTCTTCACTTCAAATATTTGTCCTTGCTTCTGCCATTTAGAGAAAGGATCCTCCACCTGCAAACCACGGCCAGCCTGCACAGATAAAGATTACTTCTACACTCACACGGCCTGTGATGACAAAGGAGAGGTGGGTAGCACAGTCCTGGGACCCCTTTGCCTGCCCCCTAGGCTTTGCCAGATTTGCAGCTTCACCGACCACTGGAGCTATCACCTGAGAAAAACCCCCAGACCTCTGCAGTGACCCTGGGGCCAGTGGGGAGGCAAAATGAGATGACCTCACTTGTTTTCAGGTCAGAAACTGTTTTTGCTACATTTGTTCCGCTGCTCACTCACATATGTTCTGCGTTTTAAAAAATGCTTTCATTTTCTTTTGCTTGGTTTCTTCCATTCACTTCGCTCCCTGGGCAATGACTGCCTGTCCATATATACTTATTTCTTCTTTCTCATCAGACTTGTCCCCTCAGCCCTGCTCTTGTAGGCCGGCATAGGCAGTGATTCCTGCTTCCTGGCTCACGGGAGAACGGCCTGATTTATTCTGTCTCTGCCCGTTTCCTCTCCCCCGCAGGCTTTCTGCCTCAGAAAGACTTTCCTTTGTAGTCTGCTCCACCACTGAGTCAGCAGGCATTTTTGAGCATCAGCTGTTGCTCTGTACTCCAGTCAGGGAACCCAAGATGAATCAGACAGGCATCTGCCCTGAAGAGGAGAGGAGAAAGATGGTGGGGAGGAGAAAGATGGGCCTGAGTGTGTGCAGGGCTCTGGGGGAACCCAGAAGAGGAGTGGCCAGGTTGGAGGGTGGGGCCGGGGCAGGTCTTCCAGAGGAGGTCACTAGTTCGTGCGCACAGCCTGGTCCTGTGCTGCCCACGAGGTATGCAGCAGTTCACAGCGCCAAGGAAACGTCCACTCTCGTGGTGCCTAATTCCTCTCGGGGAGCGAGTGAAGGGAGAGACAACAGATAAACAACAGATAAACAATCCCTTCCCATTTAGGATTACCTAAATGGATTCCCTTCCCATTTAGGTCATCACAGAGCATTGAGTGGAGTTTCTTGAGCTATACTGTATGTTTTCATTAGTGATCTATTTTATACTCAGTATCAATAGTATGCATATGTAAATCCCAAACTTCCAGTTCTTCCCACCCTCTGTTTCCCCCTTGGTATGCATACACTTGTTCTCTACTTCTGTACATCTCGGTCTCTATTTCTGCTTAGAGAGGGTAAGAATGACCTCTCTGAGCAGAGACCTGAGTCAGGAGGAGGAGAGCCAGAGTGCTCCCCAGGCAGGGAACGCAGCAGGTGTGGAGGAGGCAGGCAGGTGCCTGGAAACTTTGAGGAAGTGAGCAGGGATGGCTCAAGGGCACAAGTGGTGGGATCGGTCTTAGATCAGCAATTCTGGATGAACTGTCCTATCTGTATCCCTAAACTAGAACCTCCCGAGAAGACAGGAGTAGGGAATTCTGTGTCATTCAGCACTAAGCATGTGCTTGCTATTAGGATGCATACATGTTTGCTGGCTGGACGGCTGGCTGAATTCTCTTTCTGCTAATGAAGCGTGGGATGAAGTCCGGTCCTTAATGGCGATTGCTTTTATAGTTATCTCTTACTGCCCGTGTACTGACTGGCCCCATTCTCATTTTTTGAGCAAAATCCCCTTCCCCAGCAGCCAAGCAAAATGATTAATCCTATCAGTTGTACCTTAGCCCCAGTTCTATAATGTCTGGTGTTCTTCATGACCTTGTAAGGAATTACTGTCACTTTCTTGGTCTCAGCTGACCCACTAATTAAGAGGACAATCTTGCTCCTCTTCTCCCCCCAGGATATAACATGTGGCCAATTGTGGCTGTCTTTGCTTCCTTCTGCCCCATTCTTTTCCCTCCTGGTTCAAGCCAAGGACTTCTAGATCCATAGTGTGCTCTGATGCTTGCAAGCCTGGGTGTCTACCATCCCCTGATACCTTGGGGGCCTATAGATAAGTGGGACCAGAGCTGGTGCTCCCACCTTGCAGCCCAGCCACAGCACAGCTCAGAGAGAAGCCCTGGAGTAGACATGGTCACCAGGAGTGTCTTATGGAAGTGTCAGCCCTCAGGCCCATGCTGGTTCTGCTCAGTCTCGGAATTTCACTTTGCCTTTTAAGCCATATTTTAAAATCAAAGGATTCCTACAATTGCCTTTATGGCCTTTGCTGTGCCTCAGTGGTTTCTCAGGGACTGGGATCGCTGATCCATTGGGGCTGCTGAGTGTGCTGTTCCAGCAGGTGGCCCAAGTCAGTCCAGTGGCTCCCCAGACCCTTTTCTCTATAAGATTCAAGGAGATGAGCTGGGTGAGGTAAGGTTAGGTCACTAGTCCGGGTCTCCAGTCACTGACTGCTCTTTACACAGAGAAAGGCTGAGCCGAGCAGGGGCACAAGTTGTCTGTCCTGGGGCTCATCTTGAACAAAGGCAACATGAGGCCCTTTCAAGATATTGTCAAGACCTTATCCTGAATAAAATGGACTGATGCCTTGTTCATCCACCTTCTTACATGTTTGGTATTCTACATAGCGCATTTGCATCATCACCTCAATGCAATCCTTTTATCTCTTGCCCAAGAACCACACAGGAAGCCTGCCATTGCCCAACCTCACCCCTGACTCACCAGGGGCCTCCTGCAGTTCATCTGCTCTTCTCTAGCCAATGCCTCCATCAAAAGACTAGGAATGGTCCTAGTAAGTGACAGATACAGTGCTTCTCTTGTTCACTGACTTGGAGGCTAATCAGTTCTCCTGCCTTTTTCCCTCAGGTTTTTTGAGATATAATTGACACATATTGTGGAAGTTTAAGGTGTACGAGTTTATTTGATACACTTACATATTGCAAGATGATAACCAACATAGAGCTAGCTAACTACCATCAGAGCACATAATTACCATGTCTTTTTTGTGGTGAGAGTGTTTAATATCTACTCTCTTAATAGCTCTCAAGTATATAATACAGCATCATTAACTCTAATCACCATGCTAACTCTAATCACCTGCACCTTAGATCCCCAGAATTTTTTGATCTTGTAACTGAAGTTTGTACTCTTTAACCAGCCTCATTGCTCTTGCCTTTATGTCCCAGAGAACACAGGGTTCATACCCCCATGGGGGATTGTTATTATGGTGCCCTTGCTAGGGTACATTACTGATGGCTCAAGCGGTAAAGAATCTGCCTGCAATGCAGGAGACCTGGGTTCAATCCCTGGGTCAGGAAAATCCCCTCGAGAAGGAAATGGCAACCCACTGCAGTATTCTTGCCTGGCAAATCCCACAGACAGAGGAGCCTGGTGGGCTACAGTCCATGGAGTCACAAAGAGTTGCACATGACTGAGCACGCATGCAATGCAATGTGTGACAGTGCTAGACAGTGAGCTAGCTCCCTGAGGGCACAGGCCACGTCATTCATCTCTGAGTCACATGTTTATATTAGACTTTCTATAGATGTCTACTGAATAAGTGAAAAAGCAAAGAAAATACTTAGAAGACAAATTGGAACACCTCAGCCATCCTCTATTCCCCCAGGGGTTACCTAAGCCACTTCCACTCCATGCCTTTTTGTGTTCTGGGATTTTCACCAGCTGCTTTTCCTGTGACATTTTAGTATTAATAAGATTCTACACCAGAATGAGGGCTTTCTCTGGAGGAAACTGGTCTCCTCTTCCCATCCAACACACAGGCCTATCCCTCTTCATCCCAGTCCATTCATTCAGCAGATATTCACTGAGCATGACCACATGCCAGGCACTAAGCAATGTGCCTGGGATACACTGGTGACCCAAACCAAGTTCCCCACCCTGCTGGAGCTTTCATTAGAGCCCAGAATCCCCCCATCCTCAAGGTAACTTCCTGAAGATGTGCTAATGCCTCACAGCAGGCTGAGTCGGGCTCTGTTTCTGCAGACGCAGCTCATGTACAAATGGGCCCAGCCAAAAATCTGCAGCGAGGATCTGGAGGGCGCGGTGCAGCTGCCCGCCTCTGGCTTGAAGACCCGCTGCCCACCCTGCAACCCAGGCTTCTTCAAGACCAACAGCAGCAGCTGCGAGGCCTGCCCTTACGGCTCTTACTCCAACGGCTCCGGTAACCCCTCTCCCATCCCACTCCCTGCCTCACTCCATTCCCACGCCACACACAGGGGTGGGCCACATGGGCACTCAGCATGTCAACCGGACTCACACCATGTCCTTCCGAGGGAGGCGATGAGGGCCAGGCCACCTCTGAGGACCACATTCAGAAGAGAGGTCAGCACGGGCCCTGTCTGTGGGTCCACCTGAGAACTACCTGCCTCCCTCCTCATTCCAACTGCGAATGTGACTCAGGCCTGAAGGGGCACACTCCCCACAGCAGAGGCTTCCAGCATGTGGCAGGGATGATAGCTAGAAGGTTTGGGAAGCTGGGATGGCCACCTTGTCACAATCAGAATTTGAAGGAGAGGAGCTGGGGGGATCTATACCTATTAATGTGAAGGCATTTGCTGATGACAATGTGACAAATAATATGAACTATATGTATTAGACTAGAAGACACACTTAAGCTTTGAAATTAATAATTTGATGGGCAAGTAGGGTACTGGAATATGGAATGAAGGGTCAGTTTGTTAAACTCATTGTCAGAATGTTTTCGAGTTAGCTGGCTGTTAACTGTGCTCAGCAACACCTTTGTGGGGCTGCCCACTACTGTTGCCACTTGTCTATGCAACAAGAGCTGCAGTCAGGGTGGCTGCAGCCTTCCTGCTGAATGCGTGGGTCTTGTGGCTCCCCCAGATTGTAGCCACTGCCCAGCAGGGACCGAACCTGCCGTGGGATTTGAATACAAATGGTGGAACACGCTGCCCACGAACATGGAGACGACCGTCCTCAGCGGGATCAACTTTGAGTACAAGGGCATGACAGGTAAGTTCCTCCCCTGACCATGAGCTCTCAGCTAGCTGCCCTGCCAAAGGGGTTCTTCCTAGCTCACAGTTCTTCGTAACAGTGATGTCTAGAGAAAAATGAGCTAATCATGCTCATACTCCCTTGAATGCTCCACTCCCCAGGGACAAAGAACATATATTCTGCAAACTTTAGCTTTAGAGACAGAACTAGAAACATTACACACACTGCAGAGTTCTTGCTCTGAGAGTTTCAGAGTTTTTGACCAAAGTAGCCTGAGAAGTAACATGGCTTGTGTTGGGTGATGGTTCTGGATGCCTCAAAGGATAGTGTTATTTCTCTTCCAGAGTGTCATCTGGGTGCACATCTGCCCTGCACCTGAGACCACTGGGCATTAACTCATATCCTTCTCCTTTTCTAGGCTGGGAGGTGGCGGGTGATCACATTTATTCAGCTGTTGGAGCTTCAGACAATGACTTCATGATCCTCACCCTGGTCGTGCCAGGATTCAGGTGAGGAACACAAAACTAAGGGGAAACCACACCCCCCCTTGGCCACATCCAAGTCCCACACAGCTTGGAGTATTGCAGACGAGAGGGCTTCTGGTGCGCAGAAGTGTCAGGCCAGAACAGAGATCGGGACTTCCTGGGGGTCTCTGGGACTTCCTGGGTTAAGACTCTGCGTTTCCAGTGCAGGGGATACAGGTTCAGTTCCCTGGTTGGGGAACTAAGATCCCACATGCTGTAAGGTCCAGCCAAAATTAATAAACAAAAAAAATTTTTTTTTAATTTTTAAAAAGAGTTTAAAAAACAAGAAAAGAACAGAGGAGACCACAGTAATGGTCTGATAAAGTTAACTTGAATGCTGACACGTTCTTAGTTGCTGCCCACGTTGATTACCTACTGCTCTCCCATCCCATCTAGTTTTTCCTACCATTTGGCCCCATTCTACTCAAATTCTTCCTCCTCAAAGCATCAGATAAGATTTTAAAACCTGTAAAAAAATAGGGCCAGAAGTGCCCATAGATAGTTCATCTTTCAGTGGGACAAGAAGATTGGTTTTATTTATTTACTTATCTGGCTGCATTGGATCTTAGTTGTGGCACGTGGGCTCTTTCATTCTGGTGCACAGACTCTCTAGTTGTGGCGCCTGGGCTTCAGTAGTTGCAACATGTGGGCTCAGTTGCTCCACAATATGTGGGATCTTAGTTCCCAAAGGTCAAACTGCATCCTCTGTATCGCAAGGTGGATTCTTAACCACTGGACCACCAGTGAAGTCCCTGGGAGGGATTGCTCTTGTTGGTATATTTATCCCCATCTCCCAACAACACTTAGGATAACAAGAAGTTTGTTTACCATTAAAAAAGCCACTACAGGCAGAGTGGTCCAGTATAAGGAAAAGTGGACTAAAAGACAGGGCGCTGGAATTCTGCCACTTCCTGGCCTGGTGAGCTTGGGGAAGCCACCGTGCCCCTTTAGGCTTTGGGCTCCTTGTCTGTAAAACAAAAGGATTGACAGTCTGTGGTTTTGGCCTAACTTCAAATGGAGATGATTCTTCCAGCCCATCAGTTCACACCACTGAGTGGACAGTAGCTGGGAACTGGAGGTCCTCAGAAGTCAATCACGTGCCCAAAGCCAAAGAGAAAGCCACAAATGGGTTTTCAAAGCCCAAGTGAACTCTTTGACCTGTATATGCTTTAAAGATGAGGGGGAACCCCTGAATCAGCATCCCTATTGCCAATCTGGCTTCTCCATTCCCTCCTTCAAGTTCCCTCCTTCCATCCCGGGCACAGTGCTCAGCCACAGTACTTGCTCGAAAGATATTAGGTTCCCTTCCCTTCATTTACATTACTCAGAGCTGAACAGCTATATCTTATGTTTCTGAGGGAAGCAAACTTCTTAGACTCTTGGGAGATAACATTCACCAAACTACTTTTCAATTTGCAAATATGATGATAGTAGTAAAGCATTTTCTAACCCCACTCGCCCCACCCTGCCATCCCCACCTATCAGACATGGCTCTCTCTTTCCCCAAAGAAGGACCAGGCTGAGAACTTTGCTAAAAAAAAAGCTATGAATTGAAGTACCTGCTCATTTGACCAGGGCAAAACCCCCACAGTTCAGGTGGAGATGGGGAGGGGGTTTGAACTGCTGAGTGAGTGTAGACAATTGATGTCTTATGCTAGTGGTCCTTCTTCAACTTTAACATGCACATGGATCACCTGGGGATCACATTAAGCTGCAGATTCTAATTCAGTGGGTCTGGAGCCCGCACTCCGCTAGCGAGGCTATTCAGCATTTTAGAAAGTACTTCCACATCTGTTTTGCCTTTGGATCACACCACAATGATGGGCTTCCCAATGGCACTAGTGGTAAAGAACCCACCTGCCAACGCAGGAAATGCAAGAGACATTCAATCCCTGGGTTGGGAAGATCCCCTAAGTAGGGCATGGCAACCCACTCCAGTATCTTGCCTAGAGAATCCCATGGACAGAGGAGCCTGGTAGGCTACAGTCCGTAGGGTCACAAAGAGTCGGACATGAGTGAAGTGACTTAGCACGCATAATGATGGGAGGTAAATAAGAAAGATATTATCACCTTTTTACAGATAAGAAAGGTACAGTTTAGCTAGATCAAGGTCAGACAGCTAGGATGATAGAATTGGATTTAGTTCATGTTCTTTCCAACATACTCAGAACTTAATCCTGTCCCCCAGCAGACCCTTTGCTGCCATCTGATCTCTTCACTAAGCACTGTCTGGCCCCTGGAACCGACTTTTGATTTCTGCCCCACAGACCTCCACAGTCAGTGATGGCAGACACAGAGAACAAAGAGGTGGCCAGAATCACGTTTGTCTTTGAGACCATCTGTTCTGTGAACTGTGAGCTCTACTTCATGGTGGTATGTTTTCCTTCCTTTGTCCGCCCTGGGGCTTCCGGGAAGGTTGGCCCCTCTGCCCTGTTGGTACATCAACATAACTGACACCCCTGCTTACAGTGATTTTGCAGACAAGGAGCCCAACTATTTGTCAGGGACTGCACCATTTAATATGGGTCTAGCCCACTGTGATGGCCCCCAGGATGGCAGCGGTATGGGCACCCTCTGCCCACAGTTGCCCAGCCATCATGCCTTCTTCATTTGTCTGTCTTGGGTTCAGGGTGTGAATTCTAGGACCAACAGTCCCGTGGAGACGTGGAAAGGTTCCAAAGGCAAACAGTCCTATACCTACATCATTGAGGAGAACGCTACCATGAGCTTCACCTGGGCCTTCCAGAGGACGACTTTCCATGAGACAGTAAGCTCCTCCCCTTCCTCAGATGCTCCGCGCCCAGAGAGACCTCCTAACCTGGAAGGATTCCTACCTTAGCTTAAGTATGTGGTTGAGCTTCAGGATCCAGTGACTAGAAGACTTGTAAGGACTCAAGCAGAGGACTGCCTATGCCAGCCCCTCAGGAGCATCCAGCCTTGTCCAAATGACCCTGCAAACTCCTAAAATTACCTGTCCCTCCTCAGGAGACCTGTGGTACCTGACCTGGTGCACCCTGTTCAGTCTTGTTCTTGCTTTAATAATAATAACTCTGGTTTTATTATCTTAACTCTAAGTAATGTAAGTTCACTGGAAGAAAACTTAGAAATAAGCAAAAAGAAGAAAACCACCCATAATCCTACTGCCCAGAGATAACCCAGTTACCATGTGGAGTATCTTCTATACAGTCTTTATTTCTCTATAAATACTTTTTTTCTTTTATAAGGGGAAAAAATTTGCTTTTTAAAAAATATGAATACCTACTACATGTTTCCCCATGGTACTGAATATTTTTATACATCATCTAAATTGTTCAGTCTTTACTTTAAAATGACAAACAATGCACGTTAAAAGATACGGTTAGGTGAGTAAAAAGAACAGGGTGCTTCTAAAGATTTTTCTCAAGTATCACAGGATAAAAAAGATTAAGTCATACTCTGTTATTACCAGAGCACTCAGTTGCTACTTCTCAGGCCAAGGCAGGCCAAGCTCACTCTCCCCTTGTGTCTTTGTTTCCAGGGTAGAAAGTATACCAATGATGTCGCCAAGATCTACTCCATCAATGTCACCAATGTCATGGACGGGGTGGCTTCCTACTGCCGTCCGTGTGCCCTGGAAGCCTCTGACATGGGCTCCTCCTGCACCTCTTGTCCTGCTGGCTACTATATTGATCGGGATTCAGGAACCTGCCACTCCTGTCCCCCTAACACGATCCTGAAAGCCCACCAGCCTTATGGTGCCCAGGCCTGCATGCCCTGTGGTCCAGGGACCAAGAGCAACAAGGTGCCAGTAGTTGGTTAAGCATCCTAACTTGGCGTCTCTGAATGGGCCAGCTCAGATGGTGCCAGGTCCTGGGTGGCGTTCTTAAGGGGCTGATACCCAAGCACTCCCCCTAGTACACTCCCAGGTTAGAGGCCTAGAGGAAACCCATCCAAGGGTATGACCACAGATGGAGAGTTCTCAGCTTGTACTGGTTGGTTTTCAGGATCTGAGTCTCAATCAGTGACAAGTCTCATCTTCAGGTGATGGGTAATGGAGATCTGTGGCCCTCTGGTCCAGAGGGTTATTTGGCATCTGTGCAGAGACTGAAAGGGAAGCAGTAATGGGACTTGTGGCTCAAATTCAGCCTACTTCATTCCAGCTTGTTATTGAGGGAATTTGCCCCCCCTTCTTGGGGCAATGGTAACCCTTCTTGGGAATGGTAACCCACCTTTGCTGGGTCATTGCTGTCTCCTCTCCCAGTGCTGTTGCCCCAGGCATTTTCTGAATCTGAGAAAGTGAATCCTGTGACCAGAAGTTCTTAGTTATTCATTAATGCTTTTCAATGAACTTGTATTTTACTGATCACAACCCAGTGGCTACACATTTGTAAGATACCACGCAGTCTGCAGACATTGATCAGTTCAGCTGTGCAGTCAGTGCGACAGTCCTGCAGATCCCCGGCCACCTCACTGGGACTCCCTGGACTCTTGCCACAAACTTCCTCCCCCCAGCCTCTTCTGCTGTATAGGGAGGGATTGACAGTTGTGTGAGGCCATTAACACATGATGACCTTAAAATGAGCAAGAAAGGGGTTTATGGTTCAGTTTCCTATAAAGAGACTTGGAAAAAGGAATCTGGGGGTCAGTGAACTTTAAGTGGGGGAGGGTGGACAGACTTGTAGCTTCCCTTCTGCCATCCTGGGGGACTCTTCTTCCACTTCAGTTCAGTTCAGTCACTCAGTCGTGTCCAACTCTTTGTGACCCCAGGGACTGCAGCACGCCAGGCCTCCCTGTCCATCACCAGCTCCTGGAGTTTATTCAAACTCATGTCCATTGAGTCAGGATGCCATCCAACCACCTCATCCTTTCTCGTCCCCTTCTCCTCCCACCTTCAATCTTTCTCAGCATCAGAGTCTTCTCAAATGAGTCAGCTCTTTGCATCAGGTGGCCAAAGTACTGGAGTTTCAGCTTCAACATCAGTCCTTCCGATGAATATTCAGGACTGATTTCCTTTAGGATGGACCGGTTGGATCTCCTTGCAGTCCAAGGGACTCTCAAGAGTCTTCTCCAACATCACAGTTCAGAAGCATCAATTCTTCGGTGCTCAGCTTTCTTTATAGTCCAACTCTCACATCCATACATGACTACTGGAAAAACCATAGCCTTGACTAGACAGATCTTTGTTGGCAAAGTAATGTCTCTGCTTTTTAATTTTCTAAGTTGGTCATAACTTTTCTTCCAAGGAGTAAGAATCTTTTAATTTAATGGCTGCAGTCACCATCTGCAGTGATTTTGGAGCCC